GGCACCGGCATAGTCACAGGTGGGCAGTGGGAGTGCTGCCCTGAGCCAGTGCAGAGACTGCACTATAATAGTCTTCTGTTTGGGAAGGCCTCACACCTTGTGAGCTGTCAGTTGGTTGCTAATTTTGGATAACTATGTAGAATTTGAAAGGTAAGGGAGATTCTACAATGGGCTCAATCTCCATATCTTTACCTTTGGGGTCTGTTGGGCTCAATCTCCATATCTTTAGACTGTGCCTCAGGGATACTAGTTTCAGCAACTGTGTGGATGGTTTTGCTAATTTCTTCTGCTCACACATCCTTGTGTGAGCCTGGTTTCTGGTCTTGTGGTGCCTCCCTTTTTAGGCACCATCAGAAGGATGATTCCTTTCTTCTTCAAAAGGAATAAGGCCCATCTCAGGAGCTATACACTCCATTCCCACCAAGACCCTCTGTGCTTTCCACAAATTGCCCTCCTTGGCGCTGTTAGGGGGAGAGGATGTCCTGAGCTAATTCCATACAGACTTTATGGACTCCATCCCCCACTCCAGGCCAAAGGGAAGGTGGCTGGGATCTGAGGGTGGAGTTAAGCAGCCAGGTTTGGTATAAAAACCAAACACGTGGACCTTAGGGTCTCTCGCTCTCTCGCTTGCCACCTGGCTTCACTGCTCCTGGCTCGCGGCCAGCTCTCAGAGTGCCATTTGGGATTCCAGATCGGCGGATCGGGTAGGACGCATTTAAAACTTTGTCTCCCACTTTTCTCCCTGAGCTGTACATTTCCTCATTTCCCCTTCCCTTGTAAATAAACCTTTTATTAACCTTTCGTGTGTGCCTGCAGTGGAGTATTAATGAGTCCCTTTTAAGCGCGTGGGTGAGGACCCACAGCCAGGTAACCCGTTTTATATCGGGGCTGCTCTGTAACAAAAGTACCCTGGTATTGTTAGGGGGAAAAGGATGTCCCAAAGCAAATTCCATATAGGCTTTGTGGACTCCACCCCCACCCCAGGTCAAAGCCAAAGACACTGGGAACTCCAAATCCCATCACCACCAAAGGAAAGGTGGCTGGGACCTGAGAGTGGGGTTAAGCAGCCAGGTGGATACAAAAGCCAGACACGTGGGCTTTGAGGGGGGCTCTCCATTTTGGCTCTCCGCCAGCTCGCAGCGTCTTCGGATAGGGTAGGATGCATTAAATTAAAGACTTTATTTCCCTATTTTCTCCCTGAGTTGTACATTTTCCTTATTTCTTTTTCTCTTGTAAATAAACCTTTTATTAACCCTTTTGCGTGTGTCTGTAGTAGAGTATTCATAAGTCCCTTTAAAGCGCGCGGGTGAGGACCCACAGCCAGGAACCCGTTTAATATCGGGGTTGCTCTATAACAGTATTACTAGACATTTTTAATTTGTCCTTGCACTTCTTATGATTTCTATCTTATGACAGTTGTGCTACATCTTATTGATTAGATAGATATTAATAATTGTTTTCTTCATTGTGAAATCATAGCCTTTGGTATTTCAAAGTGTCCTTCTTGGCCTTATTTAATGTTTTTTTGGCCTGAATTCTAACTTGGAATCAAGATCATGACTCCAGTGTCAAAAAGTTTGTCTTAATCTGCATCTTCCTGAAATATATCAACTCATCCCTTTTAAGTCATCTTCTGGATCTTTCTTTGCTTCAGATGATTCAAATGTCCCATGTAAGGAGTATAGACTTACATAGAGATAATACAAAAACCTGTTCTCTTAATAGTGAGTTAAGCCTCTGACACTGTTATTACAAATGGTATGTTTAACCTCACATTTTTATGTCATTTTTATAAAAATAAATGTAACACCATTCATTATACTTTTTTTAAAAAAGATTTATTTATTTATGCATACAAGAAAAAGTGAGTAGGCCAGAGGTGCGGGGTATGAGGCAGAGTAGGGAGCTGAACAAGCAGATCTACTGAAATACACTGCTGAGGGGAGCACTGGGCAGGTGAGGTAGGAGAGGTCTGCTGCACCATGTGGGGCCAGCTCCCTGGCCAGGGTTTGAACTCATGCTGCAGTAGCTGGATCGAACTTATGTTGCAATAGCTGCACCACAAGGGAGGCCCATATATATTGTCTATTTTATGTGCACTTTCCTTGTAATATCTTTTGATGTTGAGGAAGGTTTGTATTTTTGTTCTAATGTTACCTTTATATAATATGTATCCCCTCCCTTTTTTAACATACTGTCTGTTCATTCCCTACTCCAAGGAATCATGGAATTTTTTTTACTCTCCACTCTTTCCTCCCTTCCTCCTAAAGTCTAATTTGAAGTGATATGCTGTTACTCCAGCTTTTGCTTACATACTTATGTAAAATGATCCATGAGCTGACTCCAATTTCCACATATTTTCTCCTTCTGCATACTTTGTGAGCTGTGTTTTTATATATTTACATAATATATTTTTATAAGTATAGTTTCATATTTACACAATATATATATATTTTTTTTAATTTTCTAGAGGCATGTCTTATTTATTTATTTATTTATTTATTATTTGTTTGTTTGTTTGGTTTATACATGCACTGGGTACAGTCAGAAGCGTGGGAGGGTGAGAGAATTCACCAGAGCCAGAGCGGGGAGCAGAGCAGGCAGAAGGACCGAAGTACACTGCTGAGGGGAGCAGCGGGCGGCAGGAGAGGTCTGCTCGCCATGTGGGACCCTCCTCCGGCGGCCGGGGAGCAGCCGGGGATCGAACCGGCTGCAGAGGCCGCAGGCAGCTTCGCAACCCAGCGCTCAACCGCTGCGCCACCGGGGAGGCCCCACAATATATTTTTATAAAAATATTTATATATTTTAGGGAGAATATGATGTTAAATACTCTTCTATCACCTCTATCCCTATTTAATCTTATAGTTCTACAGAAATATATTTAGTTGCTTTTTATATTTTCCCTATCATTCTGGATTGATTTGTTTTGTTTTTTAAAGATTTATTTATTTATGCATACAAGAACTGGGGTACAAGCCAAAGGTGCGGGGGTGGGGTGTTGAGAGGATTCACCAGAGACAGAGTGGGGAGCAGAACAGGCAGACTGACTGAAATACACTGCTGAGGGGAGCAGCCGGCGAGACAAGAGATGTCTGCTGCGCCATGTGGGTAGTCCCTAGCCAGGGATCAAACTCGTGCTGCAGTGGCTGTGGATAGCTTCATAGTGCTGCATATTAACCCCTTGTGCCACTAGGGAGGCCCCGATTTGTTTTGTTTTTTATGCTCATTTTCTAGCATGTTCTCCAGGAAAAGATTATGGGAACAATGTTCCCTAAATTTTCTGCCAAATGTCTTTGGCCTTTATACCCAAAGTTCACTTGCATGGATATAAAATGGCCTATAAGTAAAACTTACCTTCCACAGCTCTTAATTCCTTCCCATTCTGGTTCCAATTAGGGGTGTGTGTATAGGGGGGGTGGAGCCAGGGAAGTATTTTGTGTATTAGTTTTCCACTGCTGTTGTAACAAATTACCACAAGTACTCAATGACTTAAAACAACATTAATTCCCTTGCAGCCCTGGAGGTCAGAAGTCAGCAGGGCTGTGTTCCTTCTGGAAGCTCCTGGAGAAAACTGGTCTTGCTTTGTCCACTTTCTAGAAGCTGGCTCCTTCCTTGATTTGTGCACCACTGTGACCCAACTGGCCCCCTTGCCTCTTCCTGTAAGCACTCTTGTGATTACATGGGGCCCACCCAGGAAATTTATAATAAACTCCCCATTTCAGGGCCCTTGACTTAATCACATCAGAGGAACCCCTTTTGTTACAGAAAAGATCATATTCACAAATTCTTTGGATCAGGACGTGGGCACCTCCTGGTGTAGTTCCTCAGTGCACCATTTTATTTTCTCTTTGGAGATTCCCCTTATTTTCTGCACACTGATAATGCAGTGGAAAATATCATTTTGCAGCATCTAGTTATTCCATTGTGGGAGGCCCTTCAGGACACCTAGCCTGCCCTACTGTAAGTAAGAAGTCCCCTTAAGAAGTTTCTCTGGGCCTCCCGCATTGCGCAAGGGGTTAAGCACCACACTATGAAGAAATCCAAAGCCTCTGCAGCACGAGTTCAATTCCCAGCTGGCCAGGGAGCTACCCACATGGCGCAACAGAACTCTCCTGTCTCACCTGCTGCTCCCCTCAGCAGTGTGTTTCAGTCAGTCTGCCTGTTCTATTCCCCACTCTGTCTCTGGTGAATCCTCTCAAACCCCCCCCTCCCACATCTCTGGTCTGTACCCCGGCTCTTGTATGCATAAATAAATAAATCTTTAAAAAAAAGAAGTTTCTAGATGATAGACAAAGGCTCCACCCTAGTCCCTTAGACTTAGCAACTTTAGGGTTGGGTTTATAAAGCTATATTGAAAAACTATTCCTGATGTCTTGATGTGATTCTTATAACAAATCAGATGTGAGACATCCTGGTCCCTAACTTGTTCCTAGCCATGGGGGTCCTGTCACGAGAGCTCAGAGCTGATGCCAGTGAGGATCAGAAGCTCAGAATCTGGGCCCTCCCTCAGGTCCCCGAATGCACACCCTCACCCCACACAGGCTCTGGGGACTTCTTTTGTTTGTTGGTAACCTTAAGTCAGCCTTCCCATGAGGCATGACAAGTGACTTAACAATCCAGAGTTAGAGATCGTGAAAGGCTGAGAATAGCTTTACCATCCTAATTCTACATGTCCTTTAAGGGGATTATAAAAAAACCTCTTCTTGTTGAAACCTTTCCCCATCTATCTCTGCCTAGCATTAAAGGATGACATCTTCTCTCTTTAACTCTTCACACTTGGAATCTCATGTGATCTTTTCTCCTTGGATGTTTAGATAGGAGCCTGGGCGTGGCCAGGATGAGTCCATCAAGTCAATAGAAGTGATTGAACCAGACACAGAGCCCAGTTACTGAGGAAGGTTTTATTGATGTAGTAGGATGAAGGGGCCAATGGACAGATGACAGAAATAAAAGTAGTTCTAAAAATGCCCACAATCTGAGGAGAATTCAACACAAAGGGATCACTTTTTTCGTGTCTTCTTGCTCCTGAGACGGTTGCACAGCAGAGCAGTTGAGAGAAAAGAGTTTGGGTAGGAAGCAACTTGCAGAAGTAATCTCACAGAGAAAGATCTAAGGGAAGCATGGTCAGTAAGAGTTGTCCATACCCGCTGGACGGGCCAGGGCAGGGCAAGCCAACTTCCTCCAGCTGTCTCCTCCTGGCACTGAAGTCCAGGGTCAGTCTCTACAAGCCACCCTGGTCCTGTGGGGGGAATGTTATCTCCCTCGAGAAGTCGTCAACCCACTCTCCATGAACCACTGTGGACTCGCTCTCTCCCTGCCCTCTGGTCACACTGCCCTCTGGCTGAGTGCTGCTCCCGTCCTGCCTACCTGTCAGAGTGCTTTCACCAGTCTGCACCTGTCCTCCTGGCACTGGCTTTTCTGCCTCGTTGTTGCTCACTTGTGTCCATCCTTGACCATGGCCTGACTGTGTCCACCCTTGACCATGGCCTGACTGCATCTGGGTCTGTCCCTGTTCTCTAGCCCCTGCATGGCCCGCAGCCTGGCCCCTATGCTGCTCCACAGTCTGGGTGTATGACCCTCCTTGTGTCTGAACATGTCCTCCTTTTACTGCCTGGCTGGTCTGGTACCTGTTTTGTCCCTGCGTCCCAGTCCCTCTGGTCTGGTCATACGTAGACACCTGAGACTGGGCGCCAGTGCTTCCTGACTGATGGCCCCTATCTGTGGTCTGGGTGTGTGACCCTCCCTGAATCTGAATGTGTCCTCCTGTCACTGTCTGGCTGGTCTGGTACCTGTTTTGTCCCTGGGCCCCAGTCCCTCTGGTCTGGTCATGTATGGACACCTGAGACTGGGCTCCAGTGCCACCAGTCTGATGGCCCCTGTCTATGGTCTGGGTGTGTGACCCTCCCTGTGCCTGAATGTGTCCTCCTGTCACTGTCTGGCTTGTCTGGTACCTGTTTTGTCCTTGGGCGCAAGTCCCTCTGGTCTGGTCATGTGTGGACACCTGAGACTGGGCGCCAGTGCTTCCTGACTGATGGCTCCTGTCTGTGGTCTGGGTGTGTGACCCTCCCTGTGCCTGAACATGCCCTCCTGTCACTGTCTGGCTTGTCTGGTACCTGTTTTGTCCCTGGGCCCCAGTCCCTCTGGTCTGGTCATGTGTGGACACCTGAGACTGGGTGCCAGTGCTACCCGTCTGATGACTCCTATCTGTGGTCTGGGTGTGTGACCCTCCCTGTGCCTGAACCTGTCCTCCTGTCACTGTCTGGCTGGTCTGGTACCTGTCTTGTCCCTGGGTCCCAGTCCCACTGGTCTGGACACACGTGGACCCCTGTGGGCGGATGTTGGTGCTTCCTCTCTGCTGGCTTCTATCTTGCTCCACAGTCTGGGTGGCGCCTGTCTGGGTCTGAGTACCAGTTGCCGTCACACTTTCACCTCTCTGGTGGGCTCCTTCCTGTTCCCTGGTCTGCACCTGTCCCTCTGACCCCCTCTCTCTGGTCTGGTGACTCCTGTCGCCACCCACTCTCTGGGTCTGCTCCACATGACCCCTCTCCTGTCTCTGAGGCTCAGCCTGTCTGTCACTACCACTGCTCTGAGGAGAGCTGAAGCCCTGACCCTGGGTCTGAGTGGCAAGGCCGGCCTGCACCCCAGAAGCCTGTGCCCTCTGTCCATGGCTGCTCCCCTCTTGCTGCTGTCCTGTTCCAGTTCTTCCTATTGCAGAGCCACTTCTCTGTCCTTCTTCCAGCTCTTTTGAGGCCCCAGAGGTGTGGCTTCCAGGCGCTTGGGATCCGCAAGCTCCCTCAGGACTCTCACTCAAGGTTTTGAAGCTGGCCTGGGCGACTTTAAACACCAAAACCAGAAATTCCTTGAAATCCACAGTCCCCGTGTCATCTTCGTCTAGCAGACGCAGGACTTCATCCACAGTGGATGGATCGTGTGGTTTCTGGGGAGAAGATGAGGCTAGTCAGCATCCCAGGCAGGACATGGTTAGCCTGGACCACTGAGCTTGCAGGTTTCCCAGCCCTAAAACTGGAGCCGACCAGCTCCGATGCCCATTGTCATAATGGGACTACAGCAGCTCTCATGGGTGATCACTTCCATGGGAGTGTCCCGTCTCTCTCCCTCAAGGTTGGGAAGCACTTTTGTTTGGTATCTCCGTGTCTGGCATACATCCTGGCCTACTGGAGAACTGCACAATGATTGGATGAAGAATTATAAATGACTGGACTCATAACAATTCTTCGGGCTGTACTTGGCACAGTGGGAACACAGCTACTTGGGAATTTGGGGGGCCCTCACTGAGGCTCAGCTGTGGATCCCATGGGACCATGGTTTGACTAGAGAACGTGGAAGCAGCATCCTACCAGAGCCAGGCACTGCTGTCTCCCAGACTTTCATTATGCTGTTTGCTTTAGATGCCAACCAAAGGCAGGGAAAGTCAGGATGTGCATCAAGGCCCTGGTTCTGGTTTATTAGGAAGGGGCCCCCAGATGGTCTTCCAGCTGTGCTCCAACACCTCAGCTCCAAGGTGAACACTCAGCTGGTATTTTTGAGAAACTGCTTTGTGCAAGAAACAGTTATGTCTCTCACAAACCCTTGTTAATGGATGCTGAAATTGCTGATAGTCATTGGAAAGGTTGAGTGTATCAGATTTTTTAAAGCAGCAGAAAATAGCATTCTTTTTATTTCTTGAATACTCCAAATACCGTTCCTTTAGAGTATACTGACCTTATTTTCAAATTATAACTAATTGAAGTCCAGGTATAGTTCTGAGGACCCAAGCCTGGCATGGTCCATGGCTGGGTCTTGTTCCTTTGTCCTTCCTCTGCCCACCCAGCTGCCTGTGTGGGGCCACTAGGTTTGGCCTTGGCTACTGCCTCCTCAGATCCTTGAGGCAAAGTGTCTGCAGGCAGACATGTGTTCTCTGTCCTCTCCTGCCCCCTCCCTGGCTGGCTGGGCCCATCATACCACAATGACATCTGCAAACTCTTGCTCCAGGAGCCTTTTCAGCTCTCCCCTGGTGAGAACCTTGCAGTCACCCTCCATCCTGGCATAGCGCTCGAAGGCTTCGATGATCCCATTAATGTTTCGCAGTAACTGAGGCATCTTCAGAGTCAAGCTGAAGAAAGAAGAAAAGCCCCATAGTCATCCTCAGCTGTGTGGTTGGGAGCACTCCACTTCCCAGTCCTCTCCTGGCCTGTTCTGCTCCCCTTCGCTCCCTCGGTGTCTCCCTCGGCCCTACCCTATGGAGTGCACTTATGATTGGGAAGGAGGAGCACATGGTGGTCAGAGACAGCCGCCTGTGTCAGGATTTATCTGCCAGCCCCCTGCCACTGACCTGCCAGGTGAGTGAGATGAGGTTGCTTTGCCTCTCCATGCCTCAGTTGTGAAATGAAGGTAATACTATTTATTTTATAGGATTATCGTGAAGATTAAAAAGATAATTTGTATGAAACGCTTGACAGATGCTGGCATATAGTAAGTACTAGCTATTAAATATCATTATTATGTTATTATACTCACATATAATTTGCATACAACTATGTGCTACTGCTCACAAAGCACTTTCATAGGTATCATCTCCCATCAGTCTTATTATCTCCACTTTTTTTATAGGTGAGGACACACACTTGGGGAACTGAGGTGATTTGCCTGAGGCCACACAGCTTATAAGGGAGCAAGAAATCCTGGCACCCGTATCTCCTGACACCAATGCAGTTCTGATAGTCCTCTACCTTGTGGTCAGGTAAATCTTTGCCTGTCACAGGGGGTTAGGGCTCTGCTGGGACACAAACAGGCAGCAAGTGCTTAGGCACGTTAACCTCTATCTGCCTCAGGTGGGGACCAAGCTGGAGTCCTAGGGTCCCGTTCTGCCTTTCATGCTTCCTTTGAGGAGGAAGTTCAGGAAGAGGCTGGGTATGCTGAGGAGGGGGGTTCCTTCCTTGGGTGGGGGACCTTCCAATTCTGAGAATCCAGGCTTTTCTGAATGTGATCTCTGACCTTAGCCCTGGGACCTGTGAGAGAGTTCAGCCTGCCCATATGTGTTGTGGCTCCATCCATGTCCGCAGCCCTGAGGAGTGGTTTCCAACTACAGGGAGAGATTTTCTTTCTCCTTAACAGGGGGATCTGGGCACAGGTCAAAATGAATCCTGGATGTAGCTGGATGAGTAAGATAAGATGTGGAGATACATTAAGCTGAAGCCTCCGAGAAACCAAAAGGGGAGGGGTTATCACAGAGGACAAAGTGCAAGTGCAGCAGGGAGATGGAAGTCTGCAGAAGCTGGCGAACCTGGGGGCAGAGGTGGAGGTGAGGGTCTAGGCTAGGGGGATTGGGGGGAGGGAGGGGCTGTCATGGAGACATACAGGGGAGGATATGGGAGGGGAAGTCTTGGGTGGAAAGTAAAGGAAGGGAGGAGACCTTGGCTAAAGAAGGCAGATGAGCCCAGAAAGATCTGGATGTTTATAGACCCCAGGTAAGCCCTTTCGAGGGTGTCATTTCTATGATCTGTTTGTCAACAGTTTCAAGCAGACTGCTTTCTCATCCATACCAACCTACAAAACTCAGAATATTGCACCTCAACAGAAACATGGGAAGAGCCTCCATTGTTCTATTTATTTTAACCATGTGGCAGATCTTAACCACTGACCAATAAACAGTAAAAACATTAAGACCTTTCAGTTACCCTTTAGATCCCTTGGAATAAACCCACAAATTCCTTTTGCCTAAATATCACCCTGGGGTGGGGGGCTATGTGCACATTATATGTTCTCTCCCATGCAGCCCCTTTCTCCAAGAAAAGGTTCTACTCCATTGTCAGGTTGGCAGAAGTAACCTGATTTAGGGCTCACAGATTCTGGGTTCTGCAAAAAGGCTTCCAGAATTTAAGAATGGGGGACCTTTGCTGGTTCAGCTGGCACATGGGTGACTCCCGACCACAGGTCCCTGAGCTCGCTGGCTCCTGCCTTGCCTGAGGCCCAAACCCAGCAGACACTTTCTACCCAGAGCCAGTGCTGATAGCCCTGGTTCTATGAGCTCAGAACACCAAGACATTGGGAATGAGAGAGAGGTTTCTCAGGAAGGGACTTACCTAATGCACAGGCAGAATGAAGCAAGAGGCTGGTAAGCGGTCTGAGGAGTACTAGGTCAACAGGATGGCAACCTTTTATAGGGGATTTAACCAAGGCTACTGTTTTTAGACACAATGTCCCCGCCCTGAGGAAAGGCTTGATTCATCCACTGCCCAGCCCAGCCCCACCTCCCTTCTTGACAGTTTCGCCTGTTGACCCGTGTCTAATTAGCAGGTAGGTCCCACCTACCACACTCGGTGCCCTCTCTCCCTCTCCCTGTCTCTTGATAGGCAGGCTCCTTTCCGTGTCCATCACAGGCTGGGGGTCCGGGTGAACATTCTTGTCTCTGCGTGACTATGAAGCCAGGGGATCCTGTAGATGCACACCAGCACAGACCCCTTTGAGGGTCATTCTTTTCAAAGTGCTCATTTTGGGAGGGTATCCAGGTTTTTCTGGTGATGTTGTCATTACTTAAAACATTTTGGGAGTCTTGTTTAGAAATTGTTTTTCAGGACCTCCCTTGGTGGCACAGCGATTGAGCGCTGGGCTGCGAAGATGCCTGCAGCCTCTGCAGCACCAGTTCGATCTCCGGCCACCGGTGAGGGTCCCACATGGTGTGCAGACCTCTCTTGCCATGCCCACTGCTCCCCTCAGCAGTGTACTTCGTTGTTCTACCTGTTCTGTTCCCCGCTCTGGCTCTGGTGAATTCTCTCGCCCTCCCACGCTTCTGACTGTACCCAGTGCTTGTATAAATAAATAAATCTTAAAAAAAAAAAAAAGAAATTGTTTTTCAGGGCAAGTTTAAGAGACACACAAGAAAACCATCTCATTTCTTTATGGTTGAATCTTGTTTTTGGGTAGCATTTCACAGCTGGTGGGAGAAGAGGCTTAAGATGAGTATTGCTGCCCCTTCATTGCCAAGGCAGGGAACTCAACCAGGCGATGGATCAGGAAATATTTGTGGAGATTCTGTCCATTTCAGACACAGGGCTAAGACCTCAGGGATACGCAGCTAACCAGGCTCTCACGGAGTCTGCAGCCTGGCAGTCACAGAAGAAAGTCTCAAAAGTTTAGCAGTAATGGCAACTACTGTTTGATTTGATGTCCCTTTCATTACCATCTCGTTTTGTGGGATCTTCATGACAACCCTGTAGAGTGGTGTTGCTAAGCCGTAGGGTAAGTGAAAAATTATCAGGTTTTCCTCCCTCCCTCCATTAGCATTAATGATGGATCCCTGTGGTTCTACACATGTGCCTGATGGGGACATCTAGAGTAGGGCATGGGCATGCATAGGTGGGAGCACCTGGACTGAGATTGGCATCATGGGGATGCTAGAAGAAGGATGTAGGAGAATGAGAGCAGCAGAACAAGAGCAGAGCCAGCAGAGCAGCAAAGGAGAAGTAGAGACCACGAGAGAACACTAGAGAGCCTTGAGTGAAGACTTACTGGGGGCTAGGAGGTCTGCCAGTCTCCCAGGCCCCCGGCACCCCTGCCTGCCTTGTACCTGGTAAAAGTTCAATGTAAGCCTGAAAAGCCACTGAGGGCTCCAGGACTCTCCTTTATCCATCTGCCCGGATCACAGAGAACTTGCTCTGTGCCTTACTACACTACAGCCCCTTTTTACACATGAAGATACTAAGAATACTCAGAGAAGTGACCACTGAGTAAGGAAGGTACCAGTCAAAGCACCATCCCTCCCAGTGAGGCAGATAGGATTAACACAGTGAGGGTGGGTGTTTTAATGACAGCCTTCTGTCACTTATTCATCTCTCCACTTTTGGCACTTTCCCAACATCAATGTGTCCTTATGGATGAAGAAATCTATCCCCAAGGAGACTGAGCAGGAAGATTCCAAGTTCTGGGGCCTCCCTGGTGGTGCAAGGTGTTAAGACGTAACCTCTGAAGCTATCCGCAGCCACTGCAGCATGAGTTCAATCCCTGGTCAGAGAGGTGACGCACATGGTGCAGCAGACCTCTCCTGACTGGCCTGCTGCTCCCCTCCACAGTGTATTTCAGTCAATCTGCCTGTTCTGTTTCCCACTCTGCCTCTGGTAAATCCTCTCATTCCCCACACCTCTGGCCTGTATCCTGGTTTTTGTATGCATAAATAAATAAATCTTTAAAAAAAAAAATCCAAGTTCTGAAGCCCTGTCCCAAGGGGGCTCCTAGGTCATACTTTAGCAAAAGCATATGTCTCTTCTGGAGTGACTCTGGATGGGGAAAGTCATCTGCGGATGCTCACTTACATGCAGGCAGGCAGCACACAGGAAGTCAAGGAAGTCAACGCAGTGGGGATGCAGGGTACGCCGGCAGGGGCTGCCCAGCAGCTGCAGCTCAGGCCCAGCAGGGGACCGGAGCAGGAGATGCAGGCCTCAGGAGGATTTGTGGTTGGAGAGGTCTGTCTGCATGGGAGGGCTGACTCCAGTCCTGGGCAGGTAGAGGGCAGAGGTTGCCATGGCAACTGGTCAGCATTAGGAGAAAGCTACTTCATATGCAAGGGGAAAGGTGGGGAACAAGAGGGGTCTGGCAGGTGAGAACTTCCTGCTGTGAGTGATACTCAATGCCTTAACTAAAGGCACTTAGAACATCCAGAAATATTTGGGAACTAAGGAAAGAAAAGTTAGGGAACAAGCCAGGTGTTTTATGAGATAACAATGAAGAGGCATCATTACATTCAATTTACAGAAGAAGACACTGAGGTACAGAGAGGTTAAGTAAATACCCAAGATTATATGCCTAGAAAGTGATAGACCTGAGTTTGAACTTAGGTCTAGCTGCTTCCATAGCCTTGTTTTCCACTTGCCTGGGGCAGGACAGAGCCTGTGTGCGGTGTGTGTAGTATGAGTGGTGTGCATGTATGAGTGTGTGGCGTGCATGTGTGTTGTGTGTGTATGGTATGTGTGGTGTGAGTAGTATTAGTGGTGTGCATGTATGTGTGTGAAATGTGGAGTGTGTGGTGTGTGTGGTATGTGCATGGTGTGTGTGGGGGCTTGGGAGGTATGTGGTATGTGTGTGGCAGTATGATGTGTGTGGCATGTGTGGCATGAGTGGCGTGT